TCGAGAAAAACGATGATGCTAAAACGTCGAAGAAGGTGGAGCTGTATAAAAATTTACGACCCCAAGATCCTCGAAATCGTCACGGAGGTCCTCAACTATTCGGCAGGCGTTCGAATTTCTAAAAGGGGTGAAAATGTCTGGCGACTCGATGCGCGTTGATATTTGACAAGTTTTTACAGCTGCATCGTGTCACGCGTCCACTGAAAAATTGCATTAAAAAAAACAGGGAAATTAGATAGAAATCATGCTTAAATGTATAATTATCAAACTGCGGATATTTAGACAACTTTTCGTGTTCATACGTCATTTTACAAAAATTAGATTTGCAGAGAAATTTTTTTCATCAACTAAAAGATTATTTATTCTCAAAGAAAATAAAACTGCTATTAGACCTCGTTAATTTAAAAATTTTCGCACTCCTTAAAAATCTGCGCATGCCATAAATCCATTAAATTCAACAGAGTAATTATCGTCGCAAATTATTATTGACTATAAAAAAGAATTGCTTAATCAGAATTTTGTTCGGGAGATGAAAATGTAAGTGGGTCAAAAATGACTCGAGAAATACGATGGAAATAAATACCAATAAAATAAATAGCTGGCAAAAATGTATTATTATTATATGAAGTCCATTATTATTTGTCCATTATTATTATTTATTAGCAAGATTATTATATTTGTTCGAATTCACTGAGAATGGAACATTTGATACACGATAATCTAATAATTACCATGTATCATATTTCGCTTAATAAACATTGTGTTTAAGCAAATTTCATTCCAATGTTTCGAATAGGTCACCCTTAACGGGCGTCGGATTTTATTCGGCTGAAACTTCGCGTCGTAAATAAATTCTTGAAACGGGCGGACCAAAGAAAAATTGAGGCAGATAGGAGAAGGAAATATATAATTTCAGGACGAAATGGAAGAGAAGGGATTCATCCAAGTAAGCTGATCCGTAATCCTTTCGCTGTCGTCAGATACAAAGCTTTAGGGTTGATGAGCTTAGCGCTTCCTGACTTTCGGGACTATGTTAAGCTCCTTTAAAAAGCGGATCACCTTCGTGTCTTATCTTGTAAATGTAAAAGGCAACTTACTGCATGTACGGAACTGTTAAACACCTCTGCACGTGTTGACTAATTTCAACTGGATGGACGTATTAGGATCACGCGTACCAGTATAATACACTTCTCGTAATTACTATTTCTAATTAATTTTGTCTACCGATTCAGGGACCTTTTCGTCCACGTAATCTGGGAAACTTCAGCACCCGTCGAAACTGTCGCGTTCTTTAATGGTCTTTAATTCGGTAATCTCTCGTTTTATTTGCGAAATATTGAAATATTACGGAAAAGGACATAAATCTTAGCCAGAAAATTACGGGATCTCTAGATTTTTTAATTTAAAGTGTCACACGAAAACTCGGTTACACCTTTTGTCACGATATTGTAACATTAATTTTCCAAAGTATCTTTCAAACTGAAAACATATGAAGAATTGTACTGGTTTCATTTCAATATTATTCACGTGAATTGTTCATAGCAAATAATTGAGCATTTGCATCGAAATATAAGTGGATTATTAATAATAATATTAATAATAATATTAATAATATAATAATACTGATAATACAATAATATTGATAATATAATAATATTGATAATATAATAATACTGATAATATAATAATATTGATAATATAATGATATTGATAATATAATAATACTGATAATATAATAATACCGATAATATAATAATACTGATAATACAATAATATTTATAATATAATAACATTAATAATATTTATAATATAATAATATTAATAATATAAGTGAATTACAGCACGACTAATTTTGTGGTCACACGAACGATTTTCACAGACATTATAATGACACTTTTGCATATTCGAACATTACGGAACGCGCACTAAAAAACTTTATAAATGGCTTGAAACGACGACACATAATACATTTGGTAATTATCTACCGACATCAATCAATTTCAATTTTGTTACTATACTATAGATTATATAAAGGAGATAATGTATTCGCATCAACTTGTAATACTATACGGTCCCAGGGAGCCGATACTCAATCAAGGCACGGCGCTAATTATGTACCGACAGTGAGTAAAGTTCCGAGAGCTGCACGAAATCAAGACTGAAAATCCGTGCAAACATCAATGTTCGAAATTGTTCATTCAACGAAATTGTGATTCAGAAACATAAGATCTCTCTGTCGCTTCGTATATTACAATATCAAATAAGATTCTCTACGTTGCTTCGTCTGTTATAACATACTATATACCTCGTTCGTTGCCACTAGCTAAACTATCGTCATTATACATACACTAAAGTATACAGCTGTAGGATACAGGATATAGGATAAACATACGATATACCAAAGGGTATTATTTCGGTGCACTTCTGACATCGTGATCTGCTATCAAAACACGAAATCACGTTCATGATTAACAATTCAGATTCCTAACTATTGCAACGATCGTAATTGCCGGATAACTGATGTATTAAAAGAAAATGTAATCGGTGACCACGATTAACTCAATTTAATAATGATGCAGTTCTGTTTTTGATTATGGTTAACTAAAAAAGAAAAAATAGTATTGTATGGTGTAATATGATAGTTAGAATGATACTGAATACAGTAATTTCTCTCAGAAAAAAATGTTCGGAGGTCGGAATTGAAACCGGCAGATCTGAGAATACTAAGTCGTGATTATTTGGGTCCCGCGACTCGTTTTTAAAGAAATTCGGGGCAGTCGATAAAAAAAGGCAGTGCTCAGCATATCAGTGTACATTAATATGAAGTTATAGAAATGCTAGAATAGAAATGGTGATTTAACTTTTTATTTCTAGTTTTTTGCCACGATTCGAAGGCAATTCGGAGGCCACGTGATACGATTCGAAGGCAATTAGAAGGCCTCATGTCACGATTTGAAGGCAATTCGGGGGCCACATGTCACGATTTGAAAGCAATTCGGAGGCCATATGTCATGATTTGAAGGCAATTGGGAGATTTGAAGGCAATTCGGAGATTTGGGGACAATTCGGAGATTTGAAGGCATTTCGAAAATTTAAAGGCAATTCGGAGATTTGAAGGCAATTCAGAGATTTGAAGCCAATTCGGAGATTTCAAGGCAATCTAGAGATTTGAAGGAAATTCGGAAATTTGAAAGCAATTCAGAGATTTGAAGCCAATTCGGAGATTTGAAGGCAATCTAGAGATTTGAAGGAAATTCGAAAATTTGAAGGCAATTCGAAGATTTGAAAGCAATTCGAAGATTTGAAGGCAATTCGGAGATTTGAAGGCAATCTAGAGATTTGAAGGAAATTCGGAAATTTGAAGGAAATTCGGAAATTTGAAGGCAATTCGAAAATTTGAAGACAATTCGAAGATTTGAAAGCAATTCGGAGATTTGAAGGCAATTCAGAGGCCACATGCCACGATTCGAAGACAATTCGGAGGCCACATGACACGATTCGAAGACAATTCGAAGGCGATTCGAAGACATTTCGGAGGCCACGTGCCACAATCCAACGGTCACGTAGCTAGTACCTACCACGTACCTCGTAGCTCCGCGGTTTTTCTTACCTAACACACTCAAACAGACCATTTTGTGTTGTCATCCGGGAATTCGCGTCGCGTCAGCATCACACGCTTGACCGGCTCCGTCGGCCCTTAGCATCGGCGTAGCTATAAATTACATAGGCGTAGAGCTGGCACAGGGAAATTCACATCAACCCGAAATTTAGTATTTCCAGGAGAAATTACTGTAGTTCTTAGAAAATATCTATGATTAACATTACGGATTATTGATGGATGAGAATGTGTCGCCAAACGTAATCATGATCGTAGATTTATTTTACGACCAATGATTACGATTACCATGATCACTTTTATTAACGAATTACAAAAGTAATCATAAAATCGATCACAACTGGAAAATGGTTGGAATTCAACTGCGTGCAATGTATCTCATGTAATTTTGACATGAAATCTTTTATTCGCCCTGGCACCGAGCTCGATTTTCACTTCGTAAAAGTAATATAATCGGCGGAGCGAAAACTCGCGTATCATTAATTCAATCACTATATTCAATGCTAATGAACTGCGATGTTCCAAGCCATTAAGCGACGCAGTTACTAGGAAATAAGTTCGTAAAGGCAACTTTCCGAAGCCAAATGAATTTTCTTTTCAATTAACGAATCCGACCTCCATTGCTTGGCTAGACCTTGTTACTGAACACATAATGATGAGGTATATAAGTTTTAAAAGCAGTCGTTAGTAGATTATATTTGTTAATAATACACAAGTCAAATAATTATACTTAAGCAACATAATATTATACCTAAATCGATTTTCAACAGGAATTTCAAAAAAGTCCTATAATTCAATTAATATATCTAATGTTCGAATTAGTGAAGGTAAATTAAGTTTATCGTTTACATAATTTATAACAAGTAATTTAAAATAATTTTATGTGCTGCCTACCATTTTATAGTTTTTACGGTTTAGTCGAAATTAGGTTTCTCAAAAATTTAGGATGATGGAGAAGAACGTTCCTTAAATTTGCGTTCAACGCATCAAGGTATATTTTTCTTATAGAAGAATCGCCTAATTAATGGTTATCGAAACGCGAGAATAGTATTTAATAGTGTTATCTGCACTTTGTTCATTGTTCATCGCAATATTATTTAACGCTAGATTTACGGAACCCGTCAAAATGACGGATCGCTAATTTTTTAATTTACGATTTTTCATATATTATATAAATAATATTATATTATATTATGACAAATGTTACAATAGCACTTGTGAAAAATCAGAATAAATGTCTCGTTGTTACTTTTATAAACTAATATAAAACAGCTGTTTTTCGTGTGCTCCGTAAATCTAGCGTTAATGCTCGTTTAAGTATTATCGTTCCATTTGATTTTGCAATTATGTATAAATACATACGTGTATCGCATACACGTTTCAGCTTGTAGATCACGAAAGGCGACTGTCAACTTCTGCCTCAAGGACAATGGCTGCGATGAGTTTAGGATTCATTGTTATGGTCACACCATGGACGATTCAGGAAGTTGTCGCAGCGTGCACCGGAAGCAAACCACCGCCATTCCTCGACTTTCTCGCCACGTGGCTCGCTCTATCCAACAGCTTTTGGAATCCATTTCTATACTGGCTGTTCAACAATCATTTTCGCCGGATTTCTAGAGAAATCCTTTACACTAAAGTAAGTACGGACAGCCGCTTAATCAATTAAACGTATTTAATTGGAAATATCAAATAATAGAGAAAATTCATATGAAATATTTAAAATCTGCAAGCCACAAGTAAATGTTCTATCGAATTACTGTAAATTACACTACAAAATATTATATCAATTGTATATAAATAAAATATCAATATTATATATAATATCAATTAAACGTATTTAATTGGAAATATATCAAATAATAGAGAAAATTCGTATGAAATATTTAAAATCTGCAAGCCACAAGTAAATGTTCTATTGAATTACTGTAAATTACACTACAAAATATTATATCAATTATATATTAATATTTAATATCAATTATATATTAATATAATATCAATATTATATATAATATCAATTAAACG